CCTCTCTTAGCCTCTCTTAGCCTCCCCTAGCCTCTCCTAGCCTCCCCTAGCCTCCCTTAGACGCCCCTAGCTTCTCCTAGCCTCCCCTAGCCTCTCCTATACTATCCTAGTCTCCCTTAGCCCCTCCTAGCTTCACCTAGTCTCCCTAGCCTCCCCTAGCCTCCTAGTTAAATAAGCTCAGATGCAGGCCAGGGGCCATTTGAGATAATATGCACAGATAGCCAGTCATTGTGTCCATTTTATAATATCCATGCCAGTCATTGTGTCCATTTTATAATATCTATGCTGACATGCTGTGTTTAGGTATATATGAATTCTAAGATGGGATTGGCTGTTGCTAGTAACAAACACCCATTCTAGGAAAATAGGAAGAAAATTCAAGTAAAAGTACTTGAAGTCTCTTGAAGTCCTCCTTTTAATACAGATATAAGTGAAAAAGCAACCTGGAACTGTAAGGTTTATTAAAACTGCTGAGTTAAACTCCTTTCTTTTTTATTCAAAGAATGCTTGACAGTGATGGCACGTTCAGGCCAATCATGAGCTATAGTAAGTGTATTACAATGTTATAAAAAAAAGAATTGGTCTACAAGAGAACAAATAACCAACATGTCTTTAAATCTACAGTAAACAAATGTGTTATACAATAATAATAATAATAATAAACTAATAAAAAACAGTGAACTCTAAAAGTGCTTATTTTTCAATACAATTAGCTTCACAAAATGTCACTCAAGAGCCAAATAATCAACCAAAAGCAGTGCAAACAGTTTGTGGACGTCAAACACGTTGCCATAGGCCTACAAATACACTACATGACCAAAAGTATGTGGACACCTGCTCATCGAACATCTCATTACAAAATCATGGGCATTAATACGGAGTTGGTCCGCCCTTTGCTGCTATAACAACCTCCACTCTTCTGGGAAGGCTTTCCACTAGATGTTGGAACATTGCTTCAGGGACTTGCTTCCGTTCAGCCACAACAGCATTAGTGAGGTCAGGCACTGATGTTGGGCGATTAGGCCTGGCTCGCAGTCGGCGTTCCAATTCATCCCAAAGGTTTTTGATGGGGTTGAGGTCAGGGCTATGTGCAGTCCAGTTAAGTTCTTCCACACCGATCTGGACAAACCATTTCTGTATGGACCTCGCTTTGTGCACGGGGGCATTGTCATGCTGAAACAGGAAAGGGCCTTCCCCGAACTGTTGCCACAAAGTTGGAAGCACAGAATCGTCTAGAATGTCATTGTATGCTGTAGCGTTAAGATTTCCCTTCACTGTAAGGGGCCTAGCCCGAACCATGAAAACAGCCCCAGACCATTATTCCTCCTCCACCAAACTTTACAGTTGGCACTATGCATTCAGACAGGTAGCGTTCTCCTGGCATCCGCCAAACCCAGATTTGTTTGTAGGACTTCCAGTTGGGGAAGTGCGATTCATCACTCCAGAGTCCAATGGCGGCGAGCTTTACACCACTCCAGCCGACGCTTGGCATTGCGCATGGTGATCTTAGGCTTGTGTGCGGCTGCTCGGCCATGGAAACCCATTTCATGGGTCCCGACGAACCGTTTTTGTGCTGACATTGCTTCCAGAGGCAGTTTGGAACTCGGTAGTGAGTGTTGCAACCGAGGACAGATGATTTTTACGCAGTACGCGCTTCAGTACTCGGCGGTCCCGTTCTGTGAGCTTGTGTGGCCTACCGCCTCACAGGTCCTCAACTGGCAGCTTCATTAAATAGTACCCGCAAAACACCAGACTCAACGTCAACAGTGAAGAGGCGACTCCGGGTTGCTGACCTTCTAGGCAGAAATGCAAAGAAAAAGCCATATCTCAGATTGGCCAATAAAAAGAAAATATTAAGATGGGCAGTCTGAGATATGGCTTTTTCTTTGCAACTCTGCCTAGAAGGTCAGCATCCCGGAGTCACCTCTTCACTGTTGATGTTGAGACTGGTGTTTTGCGGGTGCTATTTAATGAAGTTGCCAGTTGAGAAGCTGTGAGGCGCCTGTTTCTCAAACTAGACACTCTAATGTATTTGTCCTCTTGCTCAGTTGTGCACGGGGCCTCACACTCCTATTTCTATTCTGGTTAGAGACAGTTTGTGCTGTTCTGTGAATGGAGTAGTACACAGCGTTGTATGAAATCTTCAGTTTCTTGGCAATTTCTCGCATGGAATAGCCTTAATTTCTCAGAACAAGAATAGACTGGCGAGTTTCAGAAGAAAGTTATTTGTTTCTGGCCATTTTGAACCTGTAATCGAACCCACAATTGCTGATGCTCCAGATACTCAACTAGTCTCAAGAAGGCCAGTTTTATTGCTTCTTTAATCAGCACAACAGTTTTCAGCTGTGCTAACATCATTGCAAAAGGGTTTTCCAATGATCAATTAGCCTTTTAAAATGATAAACTTGGATTAGCAAACACAACGTGCCATTGGAACACAGGACTGATGGTTGCTAATAATGGGCCGCTGTAAGCCTATGTAGATATTCCATTAAAAATCAGCCATTTCCAGCTACAATAGCCATTTACAACATTAACAATGTCTACACTGTATTTCTGATCAATTTGATGTTATTTTAATGGACAAAAAAATTGCTTTTCTTTCAAAAACAAGGACATTTCTAAGTGACCCCAAACTTTTGAACGGTAGTGTATATACATATCCTTTTGTAAAATATATTTCCCTTTATTACTTTCCAACCCCACCACCCCTTCCCTAATTGGAGTAAACTAGTGAACAACAACGCTTAGGCCTCTACTTCCAGCTTATACATACTATATACATTTTATGGACACAGTCAATTTTACAATCATTATATTTTGTTTGTTTTTACTCCTGAACTTCCTCTACCCTCAACCTCTCCGATCATTTTCATGATGTCCATCCTGTTTGCTTCTATATGCAATATCTTTCTAACTGTGCTCTTTCACGAAAACTCTCAACCAATAACCTATATACTTATTATGGACACAGTATGCTTTACATTAGTTATCTTGCTGTTATTAGTTGTTGTTAGTTGTGATTAGTCCCATCCTTCAGCTCCATTCAACACCTCCCATCTATCTCTTAACACCATCCATATTGGATTTCTATTTGCCATATATTTTTCAACTGTACTGTGATGTTTTACAAAAGTTCTGAACCCTTCTATTCTCATTGTTTCTACAGATTGTAAATTGAAAATAAACATTTTTGCTAAAAGTATTATTATATTATTGATCGATTGACTATGACTTTTTAGATCACCCAGTAGTGCTATCTGCAGTGTTAGCTCCAGGTAAATATTGCAATCCTTCAGCCATTCCTGACCTGTGTCGAAAAACAAGCTACAAATGGACAGTACCAAAACAAATGATCTAATGATTCTGTCTCTTCATAGCAAAGTCTGCAGAGCTGGGAAGATTGTATCTATATAAAAATTCTAAGTTTTGAATCCGGTGTCGTTTTGCCTATCAGTTCATAAACACTATGCCATGGAATCGGTACGTCAAAAATCTCTTCCCAACTATTTCGCAATCTATATGGGACGGCTGTCAATCCTTTCGTCCTTAAATGAAACTGGTATACTTTTTTATTTATCACAATTTTCTTTAACCAATTATGATCTTTAATGCAGGGCCGACAGACAAGTTACTTACTTTTTCCCCCTTCCACTTTCCTCTTCCATTTTTGCGGTAATGCTGCAATTATTTGGTTGTAATTTTGGGTAGAGCAGACATTTCCATATGTTTTTGTTAGCTGCATTTGCAACATAACTGCACCAGTCCTACCTATGATATAAATGACGAAGATTATACTTTTTCTTTTTTTTAAATAAAAAAAGAATGGTTTTTTATCAATTACTATATTCGAGTTTAACCACAATATATGTTGCATTATTTCTGGAGGATTAAATTGAAATTGCAACCAACTTTCTTTGTGTGGTCTACCACTTCGTGGCTGAGTCATTGTTGCTCCTAGACTTCACAAGCTCCCAGAACGGGACCGCCAAGTGCTGAAGCGCGTACCGCGTCATCTGTCCTCGGTTGCAACACTCACTACCGAGATCCAAACATCAATCAATCAATCAATCAATTTTATTTTATATAGCCCTTCTTACATCAGCTAATATCTCGAAGTGCTGTACAGAAACCCAGCCTAAAACCCCAAACAGCTAGTAATGCAGGTGTAGAAGCACGGTGGCTAGGAAAAACTCCCTAGAAAGTGCAAAACCTAGGAAGAAACCTAGAGGGAACCAGGCTATGAGGGGTGGCCAGTCCTCTTCTGGCTGTGCCGGGTGGAGATTATAAACAGAACCCATGCCAAGATGTTCAAAAATGTTCATAAGTGAACAAGCATGGTCAAATAATAATCAGGAATAAATCTCAGTTGGTTGTCATACTGATATTAATGTAAATCACATTCTGGACATTTTCCATAACCAGGAGAATATTAATGGAATAGCACAGAAGTCCAGTCGGATTTTGGATAGCTGGTTCCGTATTCCGAGTATGTCCTGGCCAGCTCCAATGGGCTTTTCAACCGTCATTAGTTTAAAAGATTTAGGACATTAGGCTTTATTACAGTTCCTGCGGAGGGGAGAATGAAGACCACTTGAATGCATCCATGGGGGGGAAACGTCATTTCAAACCATTCAGATGGATGGATATTAAGTTCCCTTTTATAACACCTCAAAATGTGGTAACTGACTAATTGAAGGGTTCGCATATTTTTTATTTGTTTGTCACTTTTTGTTGTTTCCGACTTTGAAAGACAAGAGTCTTGGTTTTGGGATTGTTTTTTGTTGTCCTGGCCCCTCAAGACTTTGCAACCCCATCGTTTACAGTTTGTTCTTAGGTTATAATAGCTACATGGGATGGAGAATACATTCAACCTACCTCTCTTGCAGTTGTTGTTTGTTGATGAGATAAATGGAATGGAATAGTTCACCAGAAGCAATTCATTCTTAAAAGTCTTCCATTATAACAGGGAAAGTATGACTGATGTGTTTTTAATACCTTTTTCTTTTCTTGGCTTTGGCTTTTGAACCACTGAAGGAACACTGGTTTCTGTTACATGAACCTCCATATTTTGATGGACAGGCAGAGCACGGTTTGCCACTCTTATAGGGAGCCTCTCCAACCCAGTTCCCTCTGGAAGAGCAATAAAACATGGTTAACTGCTAATCTTGTTTGCTTGTTTGTTTCCTGTCATTATAAAGGATATTACATTAAATATAAGGCTCTGATGAGTCTAGCTCATACAATAAAAAAGGAATGTATTAATCAATATTGGGTATGTACTGTAAATGTATATGTGTTCATTATAACAAGATGGCTTGCTCTTGCCATGAACAGAGATGTGTGTACTTACTTGATAGAGTAGTTGCAAACCAGGAACACTGCTGTCCTCCAAGAGCTCCCGTACACATTCATGTTTGAGCATTTGTTGATGGCACATCCCATCCTATTGGTATTGGCCCAGACCATCTGAAATTTGTTGATGTAATGTGTAGTTCTCATGGTCAACATGATCAATCACAGACAGTTCTCACACACAGTCACCCAATTTCTTACTAATACAAATATAAACTGTACCAGCAAAGCACTTATCTTCTGTAAATAGAAGACCATGTATAGTACATATCACAATAAAGAAGTAGGATCTTAATTTGATCACTCTTTTGTTGGATATATTTGTTTTTTTAAAAGGCTTTTAAAGTTTGTAATTTCCATTTAGAAATTTCAGACTTGATTTGCCCTAACAAAAAATGTATCAACCCCTACAAAAATATCCATTAATTATAATCCACACAATAATTCACATTTCCTGTTGCTGCAGGATTATTTTCCTGCTGTAGCAAACTGGCTCAAATTAAGATCCTACATCTGTATATTCGCATTTAGTGCAATATCTAAGCTACACACCTGTGTATAGTGGGAACAAACTGGTCCACTGCATGTGTTGGGATAAGAGAAGGAGTATTTCTCATCCTGCCAGGACCTCACCAGCTCAATGATTGACTGGTATCTAGGAGAAGGAAGAGACCTTTCAGCGTTTTATGTTTCTTAAAATACCACCCTACTTCATATTTTACCAGATATACTGTACCGTTAGATAGTGTTCCTATAACAGTCATGGTTGAACAAAAAACACACCAGATCTCCAACAATCACATAAACAACAGCAATACAAAATCGTTGTAAACATGGAAAGAATAGGGGCAGTTCAACAATACCTGCCAGAGTTGATGGACAGGTTCTGGCCCATATATCTCATGGTCTGTGACGGTCCATGATCCCATATGCAGCGGGAAGCCCAGGAATCTGCTGATTTAGCCAGTTGCTCATCCCACACCTAAAGCATGGAGAGAGAGAAAGAGAGAGAGAGCAGCTGTTCAACACTTTTCAAAGATTAAATAAAAATAAAAATACATTCACCCTGCCCCTGTCCCTGGCATAAGGAAGGCTTTACAGATATTCACTGGTCCTATCTTTCTAGCGACTCTTTGTCACATTATGTTTGATTATGTCTGTACTTACCTATGTGAGGTTTGACTTATTCAATAAATATACATAATTAAACATTTAGAAAAAAAATGAATTCTAAAATGTCAAATCTAACTCTAGCGTAGAGCAAAAACACCACAGTTATGTTTCAGATTTGATTGAGTGTTAGTAAGCCCAGCCATAGAATGTGACAGAGGAGCAGTCCCTTGTTTTCCTCCCCTGGTTCAGTAGATGCAGGGGCCTCACCATGATCTCCATATTGGCAGCTTGAGGGAAGACCTGGGAGCGGACACGGTTGTGATAATCCAACAAGGAATTCATTTCTCTGGAAGAGATGGCTCGCCTCCTTCGGCTACGAGGCACGTTGATGCTGGTAAGATTCAGATTACTCCAGTCAGAGTCAGGGTCTGCATCGAAGCCAGGTCTGGTTAGGTGGAGAAGGTCGGTCTGGTTGGATTTGGATATGGTCCGCACAGCAGCAGCTCCAGTGTAAGGCATTGACCACAAGATGGCAGCGAAGAGGAGCTGAGCACAAGCAGGAACCATCTCGACCCTCTTCTCTAGTCTCTGGGTAGGGCTCTGGCAGCACAGGGTTCTAGTAGGCTTCTGTGGAGAGCAGAGGCATTGAGGGCAAGAATGTTAAATGTTAAAAAGAATGGTTGGGGGAAAGCTTCTCTACAGCAACCCCTCGGCTAACTGCCTCGTAATTTTTCTAATTCCTGTGCAAAGTGTTAGCTGGAATTAAGAATTAATGAAACAACTTAATGATTAGAAGTCAGAATCAAGTTTACACAGGAGACAAAAATAATAAAATTGTTTCAATTCCTAACGTATTGTCTGTAGTTGGGCAAACAATATAGATACCGGTAGCTAGACCCTAATATAGAGACAAATAACCATAGTTCAACCATATTGAATGAATATATCAATTGCACAGACAGAATGTAATCATTAAAAGTATTACTCAAACTGTACTTATAAACAACTATTTGCAATCAATATAATATTCATTCAATTTGACTAAAACAAATGTGTCTGTTGAACAAGTAGCCATTCATTCTCACACATCTAATAACATCAATAAATACTATTAACTTTCTTATTGCTTAATTGATCTCATATAGTTATCACATAATCTCATTTATATTCAATAAATAAAAAGGCAGCATGAAAAAGCAGCTGTAACAGTGACCCAGACAGTACATACCTTCATCAGTGATTCTAGCCCAGTAGAGCAAAGCAGAGCAGCCAGCTAGGAGAAGAGAAGCTCAGCAGATCCACACTTAAACACTAGGCTTTGCAAACAAGACCGTTTGACATCTGTGGCAGGGAAATTTAACTGGGCCAAGTCTCTCACAGGATATCTGACGCACTCACAAGCCCTCCTGTCTTCTCCCTCTTCTTCTTCACCCTCTTCTTCTTCACCCTCTTCTTCTTCTTCCTATTCTTCTCCCACAGAGATGTTCCGTCCCAGGGGCCAGAAAACAATTTGGTAGGCAATTTAGCTTTCTCAATACACTCATTATGTAAACTCACTGCCAGTCCTGTAAAAAACACAAACACAAGATTTTCCAGTAATAATTCAATTATTACGGGGCGGCAGGTAGCTTAGTGGTTAAGAGCATTGTGCCAGTAACCGAAAGGTCACTGGTTCTAATCCCAGAGTCGACTAGGTGAAAAATCTGTCGATGTGCCCTTGAGCAAGGCACTTAACCCTAATTGCTCTGGATAAGAGCGTCTGCTAAATGACTAAAATGTAATATATACTGTATTTCATGAGTTATCTTCTGTTTCTATATAATTGTTCAACATTGCCGTATTTTCTTGTTAAGATGTATTGCTAATATTACTTGGAAAAAGAGTACCCCTGAATAATTAAGATTGGTTTCTATTAAAATGTGTGGTTCATCATTCTATTTACATTAACTATACAATGAGATTTTTCCATCAAAAGAAGGAACAGATTATTCAGGGGAGAAAACGGTTATAAAAAACCCTCCAATTCGTTTGGGGTTTGGGACATGTTTATTTGACCTATATTTTATTTGAGTGCTTAGGTCTGCCTAAAGAGCTGTTTGTAATCGTAGAACACATGCTTTGGCTAGCCCTCTACCTCCCCAGCCATCCCCAGGTTGTTTCAATAAAACAGACTAAAATGTTTAAATAAATAATCAGAATGCCTTTGGGAATGAAAAGAGAAAAGAATGCATATTAAGCATTAACGGTCCTATTTTGAAAGTCCCTGACACTGCGGCATCAGCATTCGTCTCCAGCTGTCCTGGTGGTTCCTAGAACATCTGCCATTTGTAATATACTATACTTCTAGACTGCCATGGCACTGCCAAGGTACACTACACGGCACCAACTGGCAAAGCTCTACCGGCAGCGTGAGGTCAAAAAGATCGCCAAGACACTGGCATCATCAGTGGAACACTTAAACTGTATATGGCAAAGGAGAGGTAACTATCCAGTGGGAGCACTCTGATTAAATCAGTGGTTAGGGACTAAATCAAAAGGTTTTGATACCATATATAGTTACACATACAGTTGGCATGTCAAACAGTTACAATTGCATATTATGTTTCTCTAGAAGACTGTGTGTACTGTATACATGAGGCACTATACTGTACTTTAGTTTCAATAACATGGAGAAAAAAACCCATCATAGTCTAACCATTGACCACCCAAACCTCTGAATGTATGGTGGAATGAATAATGAATGTGCCACAGTCAGGAAATAACCTGGATGTATGCCATAGAATCCTATGGAAACGTCTTTACTTTGTGGAGGCTCCATCCATTCTCTACCCCAGGGTTTCCCAAACTTGGTCCTAGCATTACACAGCTGATTCAAGATTTGATTTTTTGAATCAGCTGTGTAGTGCTAGGGCAAAAAACAAAACGTGCACCCAGGGTGGGCCCCAGGACCGAGTTTGGGAAACACTGCTCTGCCTCCATGCCATGTCCCAGGAGAAACATGGTCTGTGTACAGAATGACCAGCACTCTTTAACTTAGGCATTCCAATGAGTCTTTCTCTCACATTGAGTGGATAGGGAAAGCTCAGGATCTCAGTCTTATTTGTTTAGCCCAGTTATAGTGGAGAGTTGAATGGATTTCAGTCAAATTGGCCTAAATGCAAACTGGAATAAGTGTACATTTTTCTTGCAAATGAAAACCCATCATTTTGTCAGTAAAATATAATAGACTTCCTGAAAAGCATCCTGTTTTGAATAAATCATTCATGTACAACTGTACTGATGCCTGCTGTAAGTACTAACTAGACCTATGCTAGTCAACTGTGTGGTGACATTATCGACATTCCCTCAACTTTGGCTTCATTGGCTAATCTTGACATCATGTTGGTATGAGAGGAATGTGACACACTCATGGAACAAGGAGTAGCCAGATCATACAATGAAAAAATGAATAGGAAATGAAAATAAATTTCTATTTTTATATTGAGTATTTATGGTATATGGACATAGACTTTCCCTTTTTAATGACCTGGCAAAAGGAATAGGCCGGACAGTGTGAGAGAGTAGTGAGTGTATGTGGGACCTCAAATTCAATAAAGCAAGCTTGAGAAAGAAGATTGTTGGTATCATAAAAACAGGTATACAGTCTGTACAGGAGCATGGCAACACAGCCTGCATATACGTCATCCCCCTTTTCCTTTCTATTCCACACAGCCACGGTGTTTAGAAACCACATTACAGTAAAGCTGTTGTGGAATATCTGTTCCCTCTTTACCTTAGGTCTGCACAAGATGTTTGGAACCTGTAAGAGGGATCTTTCTGGTGAAGTTTCAGATACTTGAGGTTACTACCTTAACCAGGAATGTCCAATTCCGGTCCTGGAGGTCAATTGCACTCACCTGGTGTCCTACAAACTTAGAGAAAAGGTGCTATCTAGAACCTAAAAGGGTTCTTCGGCTGTCCCCATAGAAGAACCCTTTGAAGAACCCTTTTTGGTTCTATGTAACCCAAAAGAGTCCTACCTGGAACCAAAAAGGGTTCCGCTATGGAGACAGCCGAATAACCCTTTTTTCTAAGAGTGTAGGTCAGAATTAGTCCCTTATTAGAAGATGAAAACAAGTGTTTCGGCCCTCCAGGAGTGACATTGAACAGCCCTGATCTAAACACCAAATTGTACAGCCGTTACTCATAAAAACCTTATATAATTCACTGACAGATTGTCTGTGTAAACTTCGGCGTTAATGGTATGTGAAAGGATGAAAACACAGGGTATATCGCAGAATTCGGTACAATACCAAAAAGCAGAATCAGCACTCTGGATTCAGTGGAGTTTGTATTCTGTAAATCAAGACATACCGCCAGGTCGACCTAGTCCAGTTTGGATCAGCATGGTGACTGTGATTAGGTTCAGGAATAGGTTCCAGAGAGTTCTGGAACTCTAACTGTAGGCACCTGAGTGGACACACAAGCATTTTGCCCTTTTGAGTTACATTTTACATGCTCTTGGGATTTATGTTAGTATGTAGGTTATGAAAAGCAAGGTGCATTCATTCCCTGCCAGCCACAGTCTTTGTTGCTTCATTAAACATTTTCAAAAGATTGGCAGGATGTCCATGCAGCATGGTCAAATGCATACAAAACAATCAATCTTGAAGAAAAGCCAATTTCATATGCCTTTAAAACCTGATCACTCAGTTATATGCCCCAATTTCAAAGCCTTCAAAAATACCTCAACACAGTCTAGTAGGGTTGTCAGACATTGTGATTGAGTGTCTAAAATGCACAGCGAGCTCCTTCAAAGAGTCTGTGTAAGCTCAAGAAGGCATAGGAGGTCACCAGAAAGCTATAGACCCATGTCTGTGTCAAGGTTTACCCTCAAGGTCTTGTTGGTGGTCTTCAATCTTGACTGATTTGCAGTGGTAGTACCACAATATACTTTATTTAGACAGTTGTTTGAATTACTTGTTATGATAAAAATTTTTTAGAGAGAAATACTTTATTCCCCTTAACATGTTTGTATACTTTAATATATTGGATATATGTGCCAACCAGCATGATTATATAATAGACACTGACCTATTGGTCTCTCAGTGGTGTGTCATAAAGACACAGTTGCTGCTGCCACCATTTTTAAACAATTGGCTTTTTCCAGTGACACTGGCCTGAATCAAACTGTTATCTTTAGAGTTACATCAATGGAATGTTTTGGTGTTGGTTATGATAGAATGAAGGATGACCATGAGACATGGAGTGCCAGGTCTACGATTGACAACAGAGCCTTGTCAGGGCTAGCATTTAAATATAGCAACAAGCACACCCATGTCAGTTCTGCCACATAGTTACCAGTTCTGTCATCACACATCAAAGGAGAGGGAAAATGTTGTGGCAATATAAAATGGATCCATCAAACCTGCACAGTATTAGCCTACAAGGAGGAGGACATGGACTATCATGCAAGATTTAGATGAATTATATAACATTATGAGATGGAACTGGACATGTTGGGTGATGGTGTTATTGGTGTGTTTGGGTGTAATGTAGGCAACAAGCTCGTGAAAAAATTTCCTCCTCCTCCTCAGACAAACTCATTGCCTCAAGAGTCAGTACATATGAGCAGTCAGTAGTGATAT